CTCTCAGTCCTCAGGTGCACAGTCCAGGGCTCAGCTTGCATGGACACAGGCCCCATCTGGGAGGGACCTAGGCTCTGGGGACAGACTGCTGTGCGTGTTCTGCGTGTGCCCTGGACTGTGCCTCCTCCCACAAGCACTTAGATCAAAGCTGTTGGGGAATAAGAAGAGGAGGCTGGAGGTGGGTCCAGGAGGAGGCTGGGAGGGGGCCTGGGAGCCCAGTTCTGCTGTGAGAGTATCACCCTGTCCCTGTGGGGGTGAGAGTCAGGTGCTAGAGTCCAGGGAGCCAGGGAGGGTGGGGACAGGAGCTCAAGGCAGCCATGGGGCTGTGGTGAGGAGGGGTCATTGGGTTCTAGAACACAAGGTTCTGTCACCAGGTGAGTCCAGGCTGAGAGGGACCCAGCCGTGCCCTGAGCTGAAGAGGCCCTGCACCCCAGCCCCAGCGAGGCCCCTCCCTACCTGGGCCAGCTCCTGGGGACACAGTTACAGTCAGGTTCTGTGGAGAGTCTGGGGCAGGGAGACACGCAGACCTGTCAGTGGGAGGCTGGGGACGTCATCCCTCTGTCCCAGGAGCCTCATGGTGGGGAGGGGTGGAGGTTGCATCCTCCTGGCCCAGCCCCCACATGATTTCAGGACCCAGCACCCAGTGTCCAGGGTCTGACCCCTCTCCCTGCTCCCCCAGGGACCAGCCCCATCAGAGACCCAGGTGTCCCAGCCCAGCTCTTACATGAGATGTTCAGGTGGACGGTCTTTGTCCTGGTCACACGGGCCCCAGGCAGGGTCACCTGGCAGGTGAGGTTGGTGCCATGGTCCTGGGGCCGTGGGGTGAGGGTGAGCACCGAGGAGTGGATGATGTTGGGGCCCAGGGAGGACACAGAGGGCCCTTCCCAGGAGAAGGTGGTGGGCGTCCCCTGCTCACAGGCCCAGGGCACAGAGCAGGTCAGGTTGCTGGGACGGCCAGACTCCAGGGTCCCAGGGACGAGGATGTCAGGGGTCAGGGCTGGTGAGCAGAGGGGGACAGGCAGGGTCAGGAGGGAGGGTGGGAGGTGGGGCCCTGAGAGAAGCTCAGGCTCTGACCCAGCTGCTCCCTGAGCCCCTAATGCTTGACCCCAACTCCCCCAGGGCCGGGTCCCACCCAGCTCTGCCCCGTGACCTCCCTGAGGCTGCCTTGACCTGGTGCCTTACCTGTCACACGCACTGAGACCATGTCATATAGGTAATTGTATCTCAAGTCTCCTCTCTCCACCCGAAAGTAGTAGGAACCCGCGTCCGTCTTCCTGGCGTCTCTGATGCTCAGGGAGCAGTTGTGGGTTATTGTGTCCAAAAGGAGGTGGAACCGGCCTTGGGTCTCCTCCCGCACCTTCCTGGCAGGGTCGTTGGTGGCCACTGGAGCCTCAGTGCTCTTGTCCCGTCCCCGGAACCAGTAGCCATGAGCTGGGTCCCTGTTAGTCCAGCGGCTCCAGGGGTAGGAGAATTGGCAGGGCACATGGACACACAGGCCCTCCTGCACTGTCACCTCCCTGGGCACCTTCAGGGTGTAACCCGGCAGGTCATAACCCCCCTGGCCCTCCACCCGCCCACAGCCCCGCAGCAGGGGCAGCAGCAGCAGCAGCAGCAGCATGTCGCCCGGGGCTGCAGGGCCGCAGGGGAAGTCTGCCCCCAGAGCTCCTCTCTGAGGAACTAAGAGCCCACAGGAGGAGG